GTGTGTGTGTGTGTGTGTGTGTGTGTGTGTGTGTGTGTAAGAAATAAAACTCTTAACTCCTTTTTAATTAAAGTAATTGACAAAAACACAATTTTCCCTGCAGGATATGGACATGTAGCTGGCCAAATAAATGAACAAATGAATGGTATTTTATTGTTTTTGTTCAAATTCTGTCTGAATGACACACATTTTAAAAGAACAATGTTCACAATGCTCTCCTTATCTTTAGGTTACGGAGCTGAAGCTGSTGGATATAGTGGACAAGCAAATAAAGGTAACAGGATTTTTGTTATATCTGGTTTAAGGTTCAAACGTTGCAGCTGCTCAGTAAACGAAYCCTGTAATTAAAAGCACTGATAAATTAAACACTGTAAAATAGTTGAGTTGCACTCTTAACACAACAGGCTGGTTTTATGTGAGTTTTTTTCTACCTTTCTCTGCTTTAATAAAGGAAATGTTGKAGTTTCATTCAACAGAAGTGGAACTGGAGTTGACAGAATGATCCTAACAGTGGATTAAACACTAAACGTTTTGTTGTTTTTGCTGCAGGATTTGTTAAAGCCCGCCCAACAAATGGACAGCAGATGAGAGGTGGAGCAACACGACTGATAAAACACACCGTAACAATGGCCTCGTAATTCATTAAAGTTTTGTTTTTCAGGTTACGGTGCTCAGGCTGGGGGATATGGCGGGCTAAGGACTAAAGGAAATGGTATTTTAGATCAAGTTTTAAACATTTACAAACAAATAGGGTATTACATTTAATGCCATGTTTAAACACGAAGGCTTGTTCTTGTTACAGGTTATGGTGCTCAAACTGGTGGACAACGAACAAAAGGCAATGGTATTTTAGATGTGCTCTTGCTMTCATAAAACTTTAATTCAAAGAGCCTAGTTTTTATTGTCAGATTGAAGTCTTTCATTTTGCTGTCAAAATGGATATTGTTGTTCTGACTGCTTTCATTTAAATTTTAATGTTTGATACATTAACCCTAATAGAGGTTTCTTATTTTACTTCAAAAGTCACTAAAATATGACTTGAGTGAAACCTCTATGCAGATCATGGTAAAGTAGTGACGATTGTCAATTAAAAAACCTCTTACCTAAATGTGTAGGTAACGCTGCTGCAGCTGCTGCACAAAATGGACATCCAACAAAAGGTAAGTCTTTTCTAAACGATCTGGTTGCATTTGGTGTTTTGAAAAGACCCTCAGCAGAGTAAAAATCCTTCTTGCACTAATTTTTTTTTGTGTTTGAGCTGCTGAAAATGGGACACAATGTTGAAGAAAAAGAATTCTAACTTATTTATAATGTCAGAGTGTTAGCTGGTCCATCCAACAGTAGCAGAGTATGAATAAATAGTAAAAAAAAATTTAAAAACTGTCTTTTTTATTTGTGGTTTACCTTGATCATGTATGGTTTAAAAGGTCAAGAAAGGGGGATGGGAGGAAACCCATGCAAGGGTAAAAAGGAGATGTTTGTAGAAGAGAATGGCATTCACCAAAGGGAAAAAAATTAACTCCTGATCTCCTAACATCAGGATCTGGTAATTGATTGCAAGAAAATATTTCATAAATACAACATAAGATCTCATAACAAGATTCGAAAAGGGTACTCCTTGAGGATCTAGGATTTTGAGCAGGTGCCAGATGTAACAATAGAAACTGTTTTAACTTTATGTTCCACCTGGACATGTTATTGATGCTGAATGCACGAGTGCCCAGACCGAGCTGTATATAGTTTACTCACTACTAGAGTCTAATAAAGAGACCGAGCTGTATATAGTTTACTCACTACTAGAGTCTAATAAAGTTCAGACCCGCAGAGTTGAAAGGGATCATTTGCTCTTTGTGTACGTACAGGATGCAATATAACACCAGCCTGGGTGCATTTCAGATGCATTTATAGCCATTCGAACAGCCGGGTACCTTGATAACCAACTGTGAAAAAGTTCCCATACACAAAAAGTTGCTGTAAAGGACTACACTTCTCATGTAAAAAAACCCAGAGAAAATCTTTTTTTCGACGCCAAGAATGAAAAAACAATGTCAAGAGATCAGACAAGCATGTCGTTCTGCCCTCTGCACTTTTGAATGCTGCTCCACGTTAAATAATAATAATAAAAAAAAACACCATAAAATCCAAACATGTATATCACAGATTTAATTACTTCAATTTGTCTATCTTTATCTGTTTATCACCATCACTGCTGAACTCCATTCAACTTTTGTGTCAATTATCATCTTGTAGATTTATTGAGAAGGGGGTCTCCGCAMTCACTACATTTTCTTGTTTTGTGCGAAGAGTTTGTCCAAGACATGATTGGTCTGTTTGACTTTTGACATGATTGGTTGGACTGACTATTTTGTGTGGGTGTAGCTTGGTCAAAACAGCCAGGAATCAGTTTGAAAAATAATTCATTTGAATCATGACTCAAGACTGGAAAGTGCTCGCTGCACAAAATTTGAATGCCGTACATGTGGGACGTGTAACAATTCGGCTTGGTCAAAACAGCCCTATGCAAGCCTGTAAAACGACTGCTAAATATGAATTATGAGACAAGGACCTCGTATTTATGACATATTTTCTTGTATGACATCTTTTCTCATAATCGTGACATCTTATCTCATAATTGAGATCAGGAGTCTATTTTTTATTTTTTAGAATGCAAGACTCTTCTGTAGAGGTTTTGTCTCCAAACTTTCTAGCAGATGCAGATTCCAACTTGAATGGTTTATTATTTTATCTGTTGATTTGAGCCATCTGGTTATGGGTTACAGCTGCATTCATCAGGTTGTTTATAAACTGTAATTTGAAATAACAGCAATAAACAAATCATCATCGTACAATAATCATTGTGCATTAATTGAATCATAAAGTTACAAAGAACTGTTTCAGTCATCAAATGTCTCATTAAACCAGTCCCTGGATATAATGTTCATATTTAATATAAATCAGTATACTGATTTAACAGAGCTCTGGTAAAGAAAAGTGTACAGTCAACATGTGGACAATTAAACTAGTACATTTGGGGGTACTTACACTCACCATCCCACTCACAGGGAAACATCCTCTCTCGACGAGAGGTGTCAAAAATATTCACCTTCATTACTCAAGTAGATACTAGGGTTTAAGAATACTACTTTAGAAGTTGAAGTATCAACTCAAGATTTTTACTCAAATGTAAAATTACTGGTTTTAAATGGGATGGGGTGGGGCATTTAGGTAAAATAAATGTATTTGTACTGAACTGGTCTTCCTGCATCTGTGGTGCATTCAAAGGACGTCCGTAAACTGAATTTAATAGCATAGGACATTTCAAACTTATAACAAAAACATTGAAATTTAATAATATAAACCTAAAACTAATCATAATGAGATTTGGTCGACCACTTTCTAGGACAGGTAACTTCAGCTTCTCTTTTTTTGATGTTTTATTTTTTATTTTTTAAAGTGTTACGTTGGCTCAGGTTTTCATACACACCTTTACATCTGTTAATACCCAGGGCATGTGATGGGACCCTTCAGAAGAGTGGGAGGACCCCAGTCCAACAGGAATCATGGGCAAGGTAAGACAGCTGAATTTTCTCATTGATTTTGCCAAAATCACACTGACTGCTTTTCTTTCTTTATTTTTTTTTTGTGCCTTTATTTTTTTGTCTGCATTGTGCACTGTATTTCTACAGTCATAACCTATAACACCTATTCCCAGATTTTATTTTCCCTATGTACATTATTTTTAACAAAAGAAATAATGATATTTCAGTACTTATGCATTAACAGCCTAAATATAACATAATTGTGTTCAGTTTATATGTAGGTGAAATGTGTTTTTAGGCTATGAAGGAGGTTTTGGAGCAGCTGGTTTGGGTCTGGGTCCTCGTTATGGACATGTGGCAATAAAGGGACCCGTTCAAGGTAGGAGGAGCCTTTCTGCTGAGGGAAAATTATTTTTCTCATTTTAAAATTTGATAATGTTTTTTACTTTGAGGCTCAACCTGCTAATGCTGATGTTTCAGGTTATGGAGCTGCAGCTGGTGTGTCCAACAGACAAGGTGTGTCTAAATGTCACATTCAACAGAATAAACCTCACAAAATAAAATTAAGTCCTTTAATCTTGTTCTGTAAAAGGTTATTCTGGAGTCCAAGCACCAAATGGGAAATGGGGCCATGAAAAGTGGTTTTTATAAAGTTATTGTAGAATTTAGAGTAAAGTGATTTATTTTCTTCTCCTCTTGTCCTTTGAATTGGTTTAAATTGAAATCCAAGACTTGGTGCTGCTAAACCTGGTAAATGTTACATCTGCAGGTTCTGTTGAGTAATAACAGGAGTTTTCCCTACATTTTCAGGCATAATTGTATTTTTATTTTTAATTATTGCTTTCTGTCAGACATTTTTTTGAAATTAGTCACTTGATTTTGTAGGATTTGRCAATCGTCCAAATGGTTATGGAGCCAAACCTCATGGTAACACTTTTGTTTTTTTTACTTGGATCTTTTTATGATTTGAAACACACTAGTTGATCWTTATTAGTTAAAATGCAATTTAACATTTTCATGAATTTATGYCAGGATATGGAGTTTCCAAAGGCAGTGCTGTAAGATCTCAGTCAGGTAATACTTAAAAAAAACGAATAACATGTGAAAATCTGTAAAACAGCTCACTGTACTGATATAATTGATCTGAAGGTTATTTGAATGGAGCTGCTCCTAATGGCTATGGATCTAAAGGTAACAATCATATTTCATATCTTTATCTCTTTATAAATGGTACAGCTAATTTAATATAAAGGTATACACTTARAAAATATGTTTGAAGGTTATGGAGCTGCTGGAGTTCTTAAAGGATATGGACCCCAAATTAACGGTAATATGCTGCTATTTTTTCCTACTTTCTTGAGCTTTGTCATCCCCTCATCAAAAACATACCCAGTGTTGCTTTGACTCATTCATGCATACATTAGAAATCATTGAATCTCCTGTGGTAGACATGTGAAGCTGCCTAAACGCATGCTGGTACAAAGCACCGCCTATTTGTACAAAGCTCCTCCCTGGAGCTCAGTCTGCAGAAGCGCTCCCCCCTCAGAGCACCCCTCCCTTGTAGCGTTGTTGTGAAGATGRGCTGAAGTGGAAGTGTCAGAAATGGTGGGAGGTTCTTAAAGACTGGGGCCAATTTCAAGGTGTTTAGACATTGATGCAAATTCAGATTTATTTGTGATATATATACAGCTTTTTCATAATTAAAGGCAACGGTTACTTGATTGTGGTCTAGAATTTAAAAGCAAATGTAGATRTAATTTAAACAGTAAACAAAATAATTAAAATAACTGTTAAACAGAAGTAAGTCCATAACTATAAAAACCCTGAATAAATTATTGATCTACAGTATGTCTGGATGCAAATTAGCATCAGATGTTAAGATAAATCTCACCAGTAAATTCATCTTTCAAAGTAACTCRTAACATAAAAAACGTATTTCTCATATAATTGCTTAAAGGCAATGCATCATTTTAAATATGAATCAAATAAACTTATTTTAACAAACTGAATTAGTGACAGGTTTTTAATAAAGGTGAGAGTAAAAAGTATCATGTAGTAATTTTTTTGTATTTTTTTTCAGAGCACACATTGTYTCATTTGCCCAATTCAGTGAATCATAACCATATTCATAAAACATTATTGATTATTTACTACAAAGTTGTGACTTAATTCCATTTATTTGTCACTTTTTTTTATTTTCTCACCAGGCCACAGAAACCATGCTGCACTGGGAGGGTATGGAGGTAACCCTAATGGTAAAATTTCACCATCAAACAAGTTTGTCCTTAAAATTCAAAGAACTAAGCTCTGAACATGAGGGGAAAAAAGCAATGTTCAATTTGTTGCTACATTAATCTGTAACTGTTTTCTCAAAAATGATGTTTACAGTTTATGGACTGAGCCGTGGCCCAAAACCTCACACAACCAAAGGAATCAGAGCTCTGTCCTTGAGCGAAGGTGCTGAAACTTTCTGCTCCAATTAAAGTTCATTTAAATTTCCTAAAGTGAGACTTTATGTAGAAGCATCGACAGCTGCAAATCTACACTGCAACTTCATAAACTGTCTGTACTGCTGATAAATGTGTGCAAACATTGTCTGTTTTTTTGTTGTTCTTTATATTGAATAGTTTGTGTTTTTCCTTTTCAAATTTTGCGTCTTGTTTGTTTTTTCCAGGCTATGGGACGATGAATGGAAAGGGTCAAGCTGTTAGAGGTGCAGAGTTCTCCAATGAGAGAAGTCTTAAAGGTGGAGTGTTTTCTCCTCAGCATCAGGCTGCGACACAAGTTCAGGGTGCTGTTCCACAACAAGCCGTCCCTCAGGGTGAAGCGCTGAGCGTCCCCGATCACAGAGACCTTGTCCCCGTCAAAAACGAGAAATACCAAAAGCTGCTGGCGCCGCAAGATAAAAGCTACAAACAGAAACAGCTCAACCCTGAAGCGGCTCCAGAAGCAGCTGTGGTTCTCCAGAACAGTCCAGAACCAGAACCGGCAGCAGTCCTTCAAGGCAAGTACAGCTTCACTTCACATTTCAACTGATGAAATAGTACATTTGTTGGATGGCCATAGCACTTTCAAAATAATTGTATATCTCTATTTTAAGACAAAAAGGATAGGATAAAKTAAAAACAATATAAAATAGAATAAATGAAAATGAGATTAGCACGCTTTTCCTCAAACCTGTCTGGAAAACTAAATAGCCTACAATATTCTTAATCTGTTTTGCAGTTGAAGTAAATGTTCATCAAATGTCTTTTACAATAGTCATGGTTCCCTTTTAAAGTACACAGATTATAMATTATATTGTTTTCAGTTACTGACAACAGCTTAAAATAAGTGTAGAAATTAAATCTCTTGTAGGAAATGCAGATCATCTGCCACAAAGCGTTTAAAATTATCCTATGATGAGAAATGGTGTAATGAAGCTCTGGGAAGCTTTTTGTTTTAACAATCATTTAAAACCAGATTTTAAGGATGGAGTTTTTACAAGAAGATTGGAGAAATATTTTAAGTTAATAAAATGTGTGGCCTATAGGTTTTGTGACAGTAAGTGCTGTTCCTGGACAAAACGTTGCAGAAGCGGATGCTTTGGGGGACACTGATGACCCCGAGAGCACCGATCTCATAAAACCTGACAAAGCGGCTGATAAAATCACTGAAAACATCTCTTCTGAAGAAACGTTGAGACAGGGTGTGCCTGAGGCTGCAGCAGAGGAAGAAAACGCCACGAGTCAGCCTGAGACAGGACCTGACAGGCTTGGGGTCAGAAGTCCCCCTGCTGGTAAACTAAATCTATAGACTTGAGTCTGTTGGAGTCGGCCTGCATGTGTCAGCCTGAATCTGGTGCTTGTCCTAAATTTAAAGTTTGTTTATGGGATTTAAAGCTGCAGTTGGCAACTTTTCTAAGAATATATTTTTTACATATTTGTTCAAACTGTCACTCCGTCCTGACAGACGTGGAGAAACAACCTAAAGTTCAGATAAAATGCCTCTTTGAGAGTTCTGAATGTGCCATAGCTGCTTATCTGCTGTCATAAGCCTCCCTGAGCCGAATTGCCCACTAGCCTGCGCAACATGCATGTTCACAGAAGGCTCCGCTGTGTTGAGGGGGCAGGGAGGAGCTGTGGAGGCAGGGCTGTAGAGCAGCAGAGAGCGAGGAGGAGGCACTGATAAAAGTCCACAGTTTTCTCAGAACTGCCAACTGCAGCTTTAAGACTTCAGCCTAACTTGCCTGATCAGAGTGGGGCTGAATGTTAGCAGAAATAATCAGTGTTTCTCTCTTAAAGGAGCTGGTTTCCAACATCTTGTCAGATTAAAAAAGCATCTCCTATTTCTGGGACCCTTTTAATTCTAATCCTAACAGGTTTTTTTTAATGATTGCATTTAGTGCATGAGTTTAACCAACTGATTCAAGATGATTCTTTTGAACAAATTAACGATAAGAGGAACCACAAGTTATGTTTTTTGTTTTTGTCTTCCCCCCGCTTTAACAGGCTTAAACTTTTCTGCTTTGTCCTCAGAGGGTGTAGGACTTCCAGTCTCCAAAAGTCAAGGAGGAAAACCTGGTAAATATTTGTCTAATTTTCCTCTGATTGAAATAATGGACTGATTTTAAAAGAAATGTACAACTTGAACAGGAGCATCATCAGAAGTCTGTTGTTATCCTTCCTGAAACGGCCCACCAACATGTAGTGAGACACTGAAACAAATGCTATGAATGAGAACAAAGTTTCTTTATGAGGAAACTAAAACTACACTTGTTTGGCTGATTTTTAAGGTTTGAGGCGGAACTCTCTCAGTTGGAATCATTAAAATGTACCATATTTATTCATGCTCTGTTTTAGATTGTGGACCAAATGGACAATGGCTGGGAAGATTAAAACCTGGTAGGTTTTGTGTTTAAGTGGTGATTTTACTTTTTTTTTTTTTTTTACTTTTTTAGTCAAAGCTTTTCATTAACTTCTGCTTCTCAACACATCTGTTCAGCTGAGGAATGCTTTTATTTTCTTGAAATATTAGAAACAAAGCTTTACTGTTGATGTCCTGTTTATTTCAGGTCATACAGGTTCTGGCATCTCTGGTGGCACAAATTTAAAAGGTATTTGAAAAGTAGTAAATTAGTTTTATTTATAGTGCACAATAGTTTTCAAAGAGTTTTAGTATGAAGCACTTTGCTAAAGAATGACTCAACTTTTTGCAGGTTTAGAGTTTAGACTTATCCACGTCACATATGAGGGCATATTTAAAAACTGAGTTAAATGTAAATATTTATTTCAAAATAACTTTTGTTTAAATAATTGAACTCTTTATAATGTTGCACCGTTTAACATCTGTTTGAATTCTACTAAAATCAAACCTGAAATTGAAAATGCGACTTTTTTTAAGCTTTTCTAATAAAATATTTGTTCATTCAAAGGTAACTTTGCAGGAGGCCACAATTTTCCAGGACTTCGTAATGGTTACGGTGCAGCAGGTAATACTGCCACATATTTTCTTGCATATTAAAGAAAATGTATGTACGGTTTCTTGACAAAGTGGATTTGTGTATGCAGGACTTGGGTATCCTTATGGTGGAAAACCTGGTTAGTGACTTCATTTATATTACAAGTAAAAATCTATCAATTAAATATGAAATGCATTTGGTGAATTTGGTTTGTTTTGTGCGCAGTTTACGGACAAGGGGCCAACCTTGGAGCTGGAAATGGAAATTTATACAGAGGTTCAGTTATGATTGACTCCATTGTTTTGCATAAAACCGTTTTAAAAGATTATTTAAAAACAAAATCAATTCTTTAAAAATATTTCACCACACCTGACAGTCAGTCCAGTAAGAACTGAGTGATGATAAATGTCAGTAGATTAAGGATGAGTTTTTATTAAAACAAATAATAAAACTGTCTACAGGTGGCACCAAACAGCTTCCATTCAATGGAGCCTCAACTGGATTTGACGGTAAAGCAAAATCTCTTGATGTCTAATTGGAAGCTGTAAAAAATGTTTGAGTTGCATAGAGAAAGGTGCAAAGAAGAAATAAATTAAATTTATTTTATATAAATGTAGGAAGGAGTCAGTTTGAGCTTCAGCCTGCTGGACATCCAAGCAGCACATCTGGTGGTACTGATGCGTCAGCAAATTTACTTTTAACGTCTAAAGTTGTTGAAGTGAAGATGACACAAATTAATTTTTGTTGCAGGAATGCAAGAATCAGCTTTTGGAGGTCCAACACTCGGAATGAGTGCAGAAAAATTCAATACAAAGTTTGGTGAGTTTCTGAGGCTAGAAAATGTTTTCTCGTTAAAATGCAGCACTAAGATGAATGACGACTGTAGAATAGTTGGCATCAAAACAATTAGAACAGATAAAATTAGCAACATTGTATCTAAAAGCTAAAATTAACAAAGGAGTAGCTACAGCTAAAATTAGCAAGATGGTAGGTAAAAGTTAAGTTGCATAAAACAAAAATAAAGCATGGATGGTAAAGTTCAGGAACATTTTTGAAGAAATCTCTTATTTCTATGGGGAACGTTTTTGTAAAGTTAATTCAAAAAGTATGAAAACGGTAACATATTCTGTATTCAGCCAAACATTTTYGTATGAATGGTTTAATTGGCACAATGTGGAGGGAGTTTGGTTGTTATAAACTATAAAGAGGAAAACCAAAGTGTAGAAGTTAAATCATAAAGATTCCAGCTGACTGAACTCTCAAACACTTTAAGCTTGTTTCATTTGTTTAARCCAACTTTCTGCTGCTTCAGGTATCGGTGGGCTGCAGTTCGGTGAACAGCCCATCAGTCCAGGCTTTAACAGTGCAGGAAAATATGGTATATTTTCTACTTAATCTGTGCAGCATCAATTAGATTTGAAKAAACGTCTGAACTGTTTGCTTTGTTTCTCCAGATTATGGCGTTAACCCGTACAGGCCTGCAGGGGAAGGTAAATACAGTAAGAACTGAGCTGTTTCAAAATGTAGCATTATCTTTAGTGACAGAAATCAAACTTGGTTTTAGACATTTTTGCTTGTTTCACAGTTGCAGGGGGTCTTGGTGTGAGGGGTTATACTGTTAGTATGATGCTTTAAAAAGAATGACTGTTCTCACCCTAAAGTTTTGTCCTTAAAGGATAACAATAATGAAAGWAAATTAAAAACACAAGGAGCTTTATGGAAAGTTTTGATCCAGTTTTTCTCTCCATCACCGGTTCTGCTGCATCCTACCCCATACCACGTGTTTGATCCCCAGCCCCCTCCCTTCCTTAGCTGCCTTGCACTATGCGAGTGGTTTTTTTTTTTGAGTGTATGATTCTGTGTTTGTGTGTAAACATAGGATCAGAGCATCTTTTTTTTTAAACTCATCTTTCCTATTGTGTATTCCAAGCTTTTTAAAGGTAGCGCGACCCCTACTGGTTGCCGCATGAACTGATCACCAGTTTCCCCATGTTTTTGTCATATGTCATGTGTGTCTTCTTGAATGGGTGTTCTTAAATGTAATTTCATTGTGCAAATGATGACAGGTTTTCATCATCATCTGGGCTCAGAKCATGGTGGGCAGCTTCTCAATGGAAATATGCTGCAGAAATACGGTCAGTGACTGTTATAATTTGGTTTGTACACCTGAAACCAGTCCTGCTGTGTTACTGAGCTTTTGTTTTCTTTGCAGGTTATGGAAACAATCCTTTTGTTCATCCGGCTGGACTGGCTCCTGAGCCTGAATCTGCAGGACAATATAGTAATATTTTAAAATGTTTATCTAAAAATGCATACTATCATTTGCATCAGACTTGAAAGGTGTTTAAGGCCTGTAAGGTTGAATATTTATATTCTTATTATTCAGGTCTGACTGGATCACCTCATCACCCTGAGCCTGTTGGCCCCGAACAAATTGGCAAATCAACAGAAAAATATGGTGAGGCTGATTTAAAAAATAACTTCTTTTTAACTTTTTTGTGTCGTTTTACACTGCTCAGCTTTTTGTTTTGCCTGTTGAAGGTGATGCACGGGTTCCTTATGGGACAAACAATCATGGTTTAGGAGGAGAAGCAAAATCTGGGAAATACGGTACAGAAAGTTTGTCTAATTCTAAGTAACATTTAAAAAAACGGTACTAAATTGTGATCAACCTTTCAACAGATAAACATGGAGCTTTCCAGACACAGAACTATGAGTCTGCAGGAGCAACAGGTTTAAGTTATGAGCCTCAGCCTCTTGAGCCAGAGTCGGTTGGAAAATCCTACGGTTTGTTAGACTTTCTCCTTATGTTCAGTTTGAACAGAATCCAGTTTCTATGTCAGTTTGTTTTTTCTTATTATTCCTCAGTGAAGGGAGAGGTGCCGGCAGCAGCGCTCGCAGCTGAAGGTCAGAGGATGGCTGTTAATAGATACGGTGAGTAAACTGCATCTGCTGGCTTTTTGATGTTTTACTTCACTATTTTTAAACAACATTTTGTTGTTGTTGTTGTTTTTTCAGAAAACGTGGGCTACATTAATGGACAAGTGCGGCCAAATGGTAATTAAGAAACAATTAAAAAAGGAGCTTCATACACGTATGCTCACAGATGTTTCCATGTCCTTGCTAGTTGTGTTTTCTGCAGCTCCCACCCCTGGTCCCACCGAGGCCTATTCACCTGCCCAGGTAGACTCCTTCACAGCTGATGTGTCTCGAGAAACGGTGCAGGACTTGACTGATCCAGACGGAGCGGCTACAGAGAGGCAGGGCGAGCATCCCGACGATTTAGAGCTGCCACGTCAGATTCACATTCAGCAGCATCTCAAACTGCATTTTCAACCTCAAGGTGAGTCCAGGAGAGGTGCAAGATCAGCATTTTTGGGTTTATTAAAGGATTACACCCTTTTTTTTAAAGGCCCATCACAGAAATGAACATGAAACCATTTAAAGACTCTTTCTGTATCTTAGGAGGAAAGAAATATGACTTGGATGGCTTCTTTGGAAATGGTGACCATCAAGGTAAGAATTYATTCTAATATTTAAGGAGCTGTGATTCTTTTAATTCTGATCATATTCTTCTTTCCTCATAGGTTGATTGAACCAATCTGATCTTATTTTAAAGTTTCTTAATGTTTTGTTTCCTAGTTGTACATTAAATGTAGTTTTCTTTTATTTTACTAAATCTGTAAGTATGTACATGAAATTATACAATATTTTAGACTTCTCTTGTTGGCTTGTAATTTTATGCATCATTTCCATCTTGTGTGTCCTGCACTTTTAGGTCACTGTATGCAAAATAAATTGTCTGCGAAATGTTTGCTTAATTTTTACTAAAGCTGTCATTTTTATTGGAAATTCAAAACTTGTATTGAAATTACTATATTTCAGTCTAGATTTTGGAAATCAGTGATTTTTTTTCTTCATCTTGCAAGAATCTGTTTATTGTACAGTATTTGATTAAAACATCAAATCCCAATTGTCACTTCTGTTTACTTGACACACAGAAAGAATGCCACGTTTTAAAACAGAGGTGTCTAAAGTGAGGCCTGCGGGCCAAAGTTGGTCTGCCAGCAGTTACTAGGTTGTAATCTCCTGTCCTCATGTGCAGAAACACTATTTCCATCCCGATCATTCCTGCAGTGCAGGTAGTTTCACTTCTGATGCTACTTTGTCTTTCAATTACATTAAGATTAAACATGAAATACAAGTAACCACAAGAGACATTTAGATTAGATTTAAGCACACGTGTAGATTTGCACACTTAAGACTCACATTTTATCAATTTATGAGACTTTGCTGTCCGAACGTACGTTAAACTTTCAAGTGCACAGGCTAAAAAACTGTGGGCTACTGCAATGGCTGCTAGRTTAATCTTAAAAAATAAAAGAACTTTACTTGGGGGTGTCTGCAGGGTTGTAAAAGATATTTAAAAGTATTAAATTAAACTTCAATTATATACCCTGAGTATTTGTATTTCATGTATTATACTGCGTTGTTGCAACTGGCCTGCAGCCCTCGGATAGACTTTCATTTTGGCCTCTTTCAGGGAATAAGTTTTTATTTTAAAGTATTTATAACACATWCTTTGTACCACTAAAGTCAGCATGAAGAAAATCCCCACGTGGTTCATGTTTTAATATTGAAATAATCAAATAATCAAAACTGTTTCCAGTTCARTAAAACTTCTGCATTTTAATCCGGGTTGTGTGAGTTGCTCATGAACAATGACTAGGAGAACCGGCAGCAGTGCACATGGCCTTTTTGKAAGGATTACCCCAGATTAGGAGTGCGAGCAGTCGGCTGATTGGTCCTTCTCAAACCGTGCCACTTGGACAGCTCAACAGGTTGCGTGCTTGGACTTACACCTGTCCGATGAAGAGTCTCAGGAACAAGACTTTCTGCAGCTGAGAAACCCGAGTGCAGTCTGTGAGGATGTAAAGGCAGAGGACCTTGTAGATTAGGGCACTGAGTGCACAAAGTCATGACTGTACTTTACCAAGGACCGCGGCTCTTGGATTTTGCGAGGACCCCTCCTCACCTGCAGTTCAACAAGTATGTCCTGACGGGTTACCGGCCCGTGTCCACGGCTCAGGAGTGCCTCGGGAGCCTRTTCTACATGCACAACGAGCTGGGCAACATTTACACTCATGGTAAGTCCAGATTTAACACACCGTTCTTCAGCTCCTTCAGATTATATTTTAAAATGACAGCTAAAACAGATCTTTAAGGTTAATGAAGAGCTGTTCTCTTTGAAGATAAGGTACAAAGAAAGCCGGTCACCACGTGTCCACTACTTTCACTTCTGACCAATTAGAAGCATCCCTGACGAGGCGCGTAATGAGGATACAGGGTATTAGCTGTAATCTGTCCCGGGAATCCCAATTGGAAATATCCAACAGTTAACTGGGTCTTTAAAGGTGACGGATGCTGTTAATTTGAGTTTGTGGTGAGACTTGGGCAGAACACTTATTTTTAAAAGTTATAATCTGACTTCTGTTGAGCAGAACCAATAAAAGACTTTAAAAGGCATGACCTAAAGGTTGTAAAGTCTCACACTTGTGAAGGCACGTTTTGTACTCAGTCATCACATAATTTAACCAACGCTCTTACTGAGGGGAAGTGAAGAGGATAAGCATTACAGCACTGCTCAGGTTCCTCTGTGCATCAAACTGCTGTTCATTGTTCCAYGTGTAAAAACGAAACCAAGAGGAACAACTTTCAGCATTTCATTCATGACTTGATCTGTGTCGGGATGTTTTAGTGCAGCTCTCTAGATGAAACAWCGGACTGACAATAGATTCTAAAACCAGTAAACCTCAGTTTATATGAAAACATTTAAGTCACTTCATGCAGCTGTCTACAAAAAATTAAATTGTAAACCAGCAGGATGCAAAACGTTTCAAGAGGTTACCAACAGCAAGACAAAAATTAACCTCGTTTTCAGGTAATGCAAAGGCTTTAAACCAAATCTGTGAACATTCAGTTTATACGGTTTCATTATTTTTCCATGCATTCTTGTTTATACCTATTTTATAAAGGATTTTTTAGCATTAGGTTTTGTTTTTCTTTAGAAGGATTAGGGTTTAAATTGTATCAAATGTAGTGTATACAAAAGACAGGACTTTGTGTTAATGTGTAATTGATATAAAGTTGTATTTATGTAATTTTTTTAAAGCACATTTTGTATTTCTAAGCCAATTTTATATAAGAACGAGCAATAACGTCTCGGATCAAATAAATTGCAGACTCCTGCTATATAGTGTTCTACTGTACTTCTAAGATGAACTGAATCTCACTAATTTGTTTCATGTTTCCCATCATCCCAGGCATCCCATTCTTCCTGTTCTTGGTGCTGCTGCCTTACAGTATCCCCTGGATGGAGGTGGACAGCACTTGGATCTGTGTAGTCCACTACCTGGCCTGCCTCAGTCCCACCATCGGCTCGGTTCTCTACCACCTGTTTATGAACCACCGAGGAGGACGGCATGTGTACGACACCCTGCTCTCCCTGGACATGTTTGGGGTCTGCCTAGTTAACACACTGGGTAATGTTGCTACAGAAGTTAGTACAAGTTCTAATAGAATTGTTATATTTGGCTTAAAAGTATTGAACTGTAAGCTTGTGTATGATTTACCGTTTAACTAGGCAAAAATAACTCGTCAAGTAGGGGAAAAATGTATTTTTTTTCCCTTAAAACTGCTTAACATCAAGTTTCAATTCTACATCAGATCTTCGCTCTTAACTGTTCTCTCCCTCTTCAGGGGCACTTCCCATCATTTACGTCACCCTCCTCTGCTACCCCACGGTGCAGCGGACCGCCCTGCTGGTCTACATCGTCCTCTCGGCCTACGGGATCTACTGCGCCACCACGGCCCACACAAACGTCCTGAGACTGAGAGCGTTCGTTTGGCAGGCTTTATTCCGCTTCCTCCTCTTCGTGTTCAGGGTTTATGGCAGCGGAGCGGGCAGTCCCAACTCCATGCGTCTCTTCGTCATCATGGATAGTCTGGCRGTACTGGGAGGACTGGTGAACATCATCCAGATCCCCGAGCGCTTCAGCCCGGGCCTGTTTGACAACTGGGGCAACAGCCACCAGATAATGCACGTCATGGTCGTCTGCTCCATTATCTACCTGCACTGGGGCACYATGGAGGATTTAGCTTGGATTAAGAGCTACCAGTGTCCTACTGTGTGAAGTGCAGCCAGTTCACATGCAGGCCACCACTGACACCTTTAAAAAAAATGCACCTTAGTCTTAGCTGATTAGATGTTTTTGATACTTTGCCAGAGAAGAAGAGGAACCAACATGCTGCTTTATTAAACTAAAAATCCTGAGCATACTTGATTAAAAGTTTGAGATGCAGTAGTTTTAGGGTTACGTGACCTGTTACTACAAAGTCTTCAAACTTAATGAAAGAACTGGATCTAATAAAGTATATTTTTATATCTTGGTCTATCTTGTTTTAATTTCATAAATGATTAGATTATCCATCTATTATCGATACCCTCTTCTTCCTTTCAGGGTCACTGTGCAAGGGGTGGGGTACACCCTGGACAGCTCACAAGTTTAGATTAGAATAGTAAAGTAAAATGACATATACCTCTGATGTTTATTAGCAAGAAAAGTAAGTTGTGTATACAACTGGATTAAGGAGGTTTAGGTCTGCTGCTACAAAGTTGATTTATTTTTATCTGAATATTGCAACTTAGCTTCAACCCTCTGGAAGACACCTTCAGGCAAAAAGCATCAAAGCACTCATACATCCAATTATGTGAAAGTTTGGCCACTTCAAGAAGGTAAAGATGCTGATGTTGGAGATGCAGGATACCTCGACCACAGCAGCTTTAATGTTCAACGCAGAATCCCTGCGTTATCTGAAATAAGGAGTCATCTTTTCTTCTCACTTTAAATAAAACTCTGGTCTGCTGGTGCTGGATCAGTCTTCAGCTGAGCTGCTGTCGTCCTCCGGCTCCGATAGGTCAGCGATGGGGAAACGCAGGATGGCGGCAACTCCGCTCAGCTGAGTCAGCTCTGAGGAAAGATCGGGATGAAAAACAACCGCAGGCTGCTAAATAATGGAAACGACCTCACTGTTTTCATTGTAAACTGGCTGAAAAAGGAGGAAGTCAATTAAAATGCTGCAAAAACTTACGTTCACCGGATACATGAAGGCTTGAGAATATTCTGCACAAAAAATTAAAACTTATCAGCATGACTGGGAAATTCAAAGTAAACATTTTGTGTAAAACGTACAGCCCAATACATCAATATAAAATCCTAAGACAGCTGTATATTCATGTTTTTATGATTGTAGATAAGTTACCTGACAGTTCCACCGTTGTCTCTCACGTTGTCCACCAACCGAACATAACGACTCCTTGTGGGGACATCCTGATGTCTGAGGGTAAAACATCAGATATAGTAAACCACTGAAGGCTGCTGAACATTTTAAAGCCAGCAGAGCTTTCAGACCGACAGCAGGATGTACCTGAACAACTTATCACTGATGAGAAGGGTGTCGATGGCGAGGGCATCAGCTGCTTTCTCTACGTGAGCAATTCTGTGCAGAAGGAAAGAGGGAAGAATTGATTTTCAGTGAATCTCTTGTGGGTCACAGCTGGTGGTTCTGGTCCGTCTCGTCTCACCCGTAAAAGGCTCGGTCTGGTTCGTGCTGAAGCATCTTGTAGAAGTCTTCCAGGGCTTTCACCTCTCCCGCTGCCTAAGAGTTGCACCAAAATGGTGTGAAATAAAATTAAAAAAGGGTGAAAATCCATATTCAGGGTAATATCCAAACTGAGATTAATAATCTGTGGCAACGGATTCACATGGATGTTTGATTACCTTTGTGTCAGAAAGTCTGCTCGTCACAGCGGGGTCACAAAGGATTTCTGTAAAACAAGAGTTTCATTACGTTCAGGGGCTCACAACAAGATTGTACTGTTTGACTCAAAGCTTGGAACAGCTCAAACCTTTAAGGGAATATTTATGACCCGAAGACGAGTGGACCAGCATGAACTTGGGCCGATTTTCCAGCAGGACCTTGTTGTCCTGTCGCACCGCCTCCTTAAAGAGGTAGGTGTAAAACTGGTCCTTCACAAACCCTGGACTGGCCACTAGGAAGCACTTCACCACTAACAGGAAGCAAAGGAACTTTGTTACATCGTTTTTTTGTTTTTAAACGACTAATTGCTGAAGCTACAAATGAAAACTGAGAAGCATGTGACAGAAACAGGAGCTTGTGTGAAGAGACGTGTAGAAGTGGAGTCCTACCATCAAAATTAATGTGGCGAAGAATTGCCTGCATCACCGCCTCATAGAACCGATCCAGCGCCTGTCCACAGAAAAACTGCTTACAAAATAATACCCTCCGGTTTGTGTACTTAACCTCATTGATGAGCTAAAAGGATCTTGTCATGTTTTTATCTTAAAAGTCTAAGTTTGCACACAAAACTGATTTATTCTAATGTACAGCACGGATTTAGAAAATGGGCCAATAAAATAGACGTCAGATCAGGGTGGGACCTCATTTCCTCACATGATGGCGACCGACCTTTTCGTGCTGAGTGCAGCTTCCTTTTCTCTTCCGAGGAATGGTGACCTCCACTTTAGCTCGAAGCAGAGTCATGGCGGGGGTCACCAGCACCAGGTTGGCCAGCCCTTCCTGCATTACCACAGCTGCCACATCTGCCTTCTGGGCTGGATCACACGCCTGCTCTAAAGGGTGGATGACGAGACAAAAGAAAGATCAAAATTCATGTGACTACAAAATAGTAAATTGCATATTTGTTTAAAAAAAACATTTAAAAAGTACAGAAATTAACATTTAATGCCTGCCACCTACTTGATACCATGTAGGGTTATAATTTTACAGCTGATCTGTGTGTATTTAACAGCTCAGATCATGTTAAACAAGTGGTTGCGGAGTTCAAGTGAAGCACGTGCTTACCGATTCTGTCCAGCACAACGCTGTCCCAGCACTTTTTGGCGAGAGTGAACTTCCTGTTGAGCTCAAGCTCAATCGTGTGGTAAGCCCCCATCTGAAAATCCCAACATCATCAGCATCACAGACAGTTTTTAACTTCTCAGTAATAATCAAACACACACAAGTCAGCAATTACATCTGGGTGATGCATTATTTTACATAAAAATGTAAAAAGTTTAATCTTATATAGAAGAGGCAACATCAAATAGGAGGAAAATATTAAACCGCTGAACATTAGGACCTTAAGCCAGGGATGTCCAAAGTGTGGCCCGGGGGCCATTTGTGGCCCCTCAACTGATTTTGTGTGGTCCCTGACTTCAGTTCAAGAATTATACTAATTTGTTTGCAAATTTGTCCCCCCTACACAGGCGTTTGATGTAGATGGAGACTTTCTATTTATTATTTAGGGCAAATTTATCACAAAGTAAAATCTTATAATAAAAATTATTGGCAACAAAACAAATTTTTTTATCTTTAAATAACCAGACTCGTAGCTTTTTCCACATCTATTTAGTGACTTCTACTCAGAAGCTGATTTTGCTGTACTCCAATCTGCTTTTAATTCATTTATTAAATTCATCTGAATACAGCAAGAATTTTCAACAAAAGGGTGACCTAAATCCTGATTTTATTGATCAGAATTGACTAAATTGGGTTATTTTTTTCCCCAAATGAAACCTAGAAAATTGCAAAATTTCTTTCAWTAAGGGAATCCTGCAAAACAATTTTAAAGTTGTGGATCTACATTAATTTACACACCCATTTCCAGCAATAAATCTGACTACCTTATTTGTTTAAAAGTATTCAATGTTTAGTTTATTGTTGAGCAGGTAAAGGAAAAATATTTTTGGCCCTGAAGTCCTTCTGACTTTATGATTTTGGCCCATGTGACAAAATGTTTGGACACCCCTGCCTTAAGCAGTCAAACACAAGGACAAAGAAAAAGAAAGGATCAAACAACACAATCTGATAAACGCACTAAAACAACTTGCATCTTCTCATGTTTAGAAGTATTTCTCAAAAATTAGGCTTTAAAAAGAAATTACAGAACTTGTGCATTTTGTCAATATAGTCCAACTGCCAAATAATGTCTAAAAACATCCTTCAGTGGTCGCAACAACCATTAATAATCCACAAGAAACTCAGTGACTGAGGAAAGCTGCGTTATTCTTTCATTAAGTTGATGTAAAAAAAAAAGATTAGTTTTTTTTCGTCCACATCACCCACTTCAAGCTCCATCTAAATGAATCTCTCACCTTAACATACTGGTTCTCCTCAATGTTGGTGCCTTTTACTCTCAGCTGGCAAGCTTGGGAGTCAAAGTCGATGGCCTCCACAGATAATGTCAGAGTGGTCCGAACTCTCGAGCTGCCCACGCTTCCCGTGGTTGATTCTGTCTGCACCTTTCTGTAAAACCAAGTGAAAACCATTAGTCCAATATCCATTCTTAAGMGTGTACTGAACGAAACGCACACAGAAAACTGTACATCAGATTTTTTTCTTCTCTCTGTGTGCTAACAAAACACAGTCTCCTAAAAACACTGTTAAGTAGGTCCTCTGGATGGACTCTTCTTTATTGAAAAAAGAGTTTCATCTCTCCTCCAAGAGACTTCTTCAGTCTGAGGAGTTAAAGGTAAACTCAGCCTTATAAGCAGTGCCTCCACATGGTGGACAAAGGGTCCCAACACAACCTGAAAACCACAGCTGTCCAGAGGAACTAACCATCCTTAACTTTTCCTTTTTTTTTTTTTTATATTTTTCTACCTGAGTTATTGAGGATCAAGACATAATTAGAATTTTTGTACTGTTTTAGTCCTATATACACAGAATGTGATGGATGTAAACTATTGAATTTATATGTGATGGATAAAAAATTGACATATTTTGTAGCGGAGAAGATGACCTGCAGGTCAAATCAGAATATTTTTGTGAAAGCTATCCCAAACAGCTGATTTTTTTCACCGTAATCACAACAGAGTGTTTTGGAAGTTTGTAAGTGTGAAATTATGAAAATAAGGATGCTATTGTGGTATTTAACTTTGAATTAGAGAAATTCTGTAGGTGCATATTTTTTCTACAACCATCATTTTYAATTTTTGTTGCACTAACATTGTATACGTTTTATACAGAACTAAACATCATTAATATAAAATAGGGCTACACAATATTAGGGACACGTGCAGCTGTAGTTAGTGTTGAATATTGTYTTAATGGTATCAAGACATTTCTTGGAGGCATTTGCAGTATTGTGTTGCACAAAGTGATACTGCAATATAGATAAATTTAGGATATATTGGATATATAAGGGATTAAAGTGTTATATATTTGTTCTCAGATCCACAACATCATTCAAAACCATTTGAAATAGTTGTAGACTGCAAGCTTTCATCAGAAACCTTTACATAAATGAAGTTATTGGTTACCTGATGGTTGAGGCTCTCAGGCTGTCCCCCACCTGCAGCAGGTTGTAGGTGTGCCACATATCCTCTGCCTCCTCAGGTATCAGAGTCACCTGACTGTAAAAAAAAACAGTTTACAGATATTAAAACTATTTTCCTAACTGATAGAATTTGGTTAATAAAGTTAACAAGCCATGATTACAAAACATTAGAATATAACATCGATGCTTTAACTACAACATAAACTAGTATAAGAATATTGTGACTGTCTCAACACAATAATGTAATATTTTGTTCTGTAAAATATCTATGTACACTCCCCTCATTAGTGCTAGCGTAAGTGCAGTTTAAATATCCATATTTCACAACCATTACGTTGGCACATGATGTTTTTAGCTAGCATGCTGTTTAGCTTGCTAAAATTAGCTCAAACATTCACTCACTTACCCGGCATTATCTTTTTCTATATCCTTACTAATCAACTTCATTGTTGGAATGTCATATACCATAAAGAGGTATACTATCCTAAACTAAAGAAGTTGACGTTTACGTAAGTTACAGACATTTTTAATTTAATGAAAACGCAAACTAAGCGAAGCCATCTCTCAACTTTGGAATGAATCACTCGGTTGTATTGCCAGGCGCCCAGACAGTGGTCTACTCCTCACCGATCTACCGGCGCGTAACCCGGCTAGAAGTAATGACGAGTGGCGAAAGAGGAGACTTTCAGCAGTTMAAAGAAGCATCTAACTCCACCTACAAGATGCCGTTCTAAATTGTCGGTATATAAATGGCTGTGGACCCATTGCGTCATGGCGTGATACGTCAATCCTTACCCTCTTGGTCACTTTCGTGGGCGTCGCTACTGCGCAGCAATTTCAAAGCTTAAATAAATCAAAATGTAAAAACAGGTAATTAACATTAACTGTTAAAAATGTCAATTTGTCAACAACCAAATGTTTGACACCTTTTTGAGAATAATTGATCTTTGAACAATGCGGTTTTGAGATTAGCAAACGCTGACGTGCATTGAACACAGCCAATCCAAGAGCAGATTAGACACCACAGGTACCGCCTACTTGTAAATTCTAACCAATGGCAGCGCAAAAACAGTCGGACAACTTCCGTTCAACCTCGCTTTCGGCTAACGCTCGTCTAACCTTTTTTTTTTTGTCGATGGCATGGTGCTAGCAGCCGCAGTAGAAATTACAAGCACTTAAAAAGCGAATTTCTCGATCTTCTTTGAAGTCGCAACTTAACTTAAATTTCTGCAAGCACATGTCAGCCATCATACAGTCAACAATTCAGCCTTCAGCCTCACACTTTGAGGTTGCCATTTATTCACCAAGGTTAGCCAGCTAGCGGGCTAACGATAGCCGATTAACGCTAAACAACTTGAGCCAACTCTTAACTCGGCAGACGCTTTTACACTCGCTACTACTTCTTGAATTCGCTGAAGTCGAATTAAAACGACCAGGGTAAGGGAAGTAACATGGCGGAAGCCGACAAGTTGAACATCGATTCCATTATACAGCGTCTCTTGGAAGGTAAGAGTCGGTACGGAGGTGCCATTTTAGCTAACAAGAAGGAGGAAGCCGCCAATGAAAGGCGACCAAGTTAATCATATTTGGCATTTTAGAAATGAAGCGCACGATTTGACTTCTGCTAGATAGTAAATATCGATTTGGTTTAGCTGAACGAATACGTATTTTCTAATACTTAACTGTTAAAAAAATTATTCTCTGCTAAAGTTGACTTTTTCTGTCAAAGATATATATATATAGTGCACGTTCTCTAAAACGTTTTTGTCCTCTTTATCAGTGTCATGAGATGATTAGATTACCATTATTTGTCCTAAAACATTACATTTTATATGTCTACTATAAATGTATGACTTGTACATTTGTACACAAGCACTGCAGTTTAAAAAAATAAGATGTGTAATCTTTTGATCAAACATTATATTTATGGTTCTGCACATATAAATAAATATTGCATGGTGTAAAATGTGCTGACTGTCTGCAACACTGTTTTGCACAAAACACGTGAATTAAAACACAGCACTGATAAGGATGATTATGAAATGAAAACAAATAACAGAGTCTTCCTCTGTGTGTTTCCCCTCTGATGATTGACCCCCCTTTTTTTGTTTCCCCAAAGTGAAAGGCTCCAGACCTGGTAAGAATGTTCAGCTGACAGAGAATGAAATCCGTGGACTCTGCCTCAAATCCCGGGAGATCTTCCTCAGCCAGCCGATCCTGCTCGAACTTGAGGCCCCCCTGAAGATTTGTGGTGAGGCTTAGTTTTATTTAGAGTTGAGGGAGTTTTAATGTAGTTTATGCTCACGGTCGTTGCAGGTTGAAGAATAAGATGTAAAACCTTATATTAGCTTTCATAAGGTTTCTCATTTTCTAATAATTTATATTTATTTGTCACGTAATTTGTAAAAGAAGACAAAATGACAAGTTAGTATTTGCTATGTTGTCACAGGGCAAACAGTGTTTGTGACCTTGGACAGTCAGAAATCTGGAGGACGATTAATGTTGTTTACTTTTCTGAATCTCTGGATTTGCCTMCTTGACTCTTTTTGCTGATGAAGTMGTTTGCTGAAAAAAAGTTGCAATTCAATGAATAAATAATCACAGTCGTCTTCACACTAAATACAAGCTCACACGTTCAAATGACTGTCTTGGTTCAGGTTATGCTGAAGTTTCCAATGTTGTTTTTAAATAATAGTTGGTCTTACTGGATATGAGGTAGTGTTTACTAGCTGGATAATAATTGTTCCTCTAGCCAAGTTCCCTACCWTTTGGTTGTGTAAATCTGCAGCAAGATGATAACTTCTAAGCAATGCTTTGGCAGCATAGGCGAAGTTTTAATCTCTACTGTGATTTTAGAAGTAAAAAATAATAGATATAAATAATATAAATGTTTTGGTCTTTGTGTATGTGCGAGCAAAATATTTCACAAACCTGTAAATGAATTYTAATGGCAAAACTAGAAAGCAATCATTGGATGAACACTAAGAATTTATTAACACTTGGAGGCAAACCAATTAATGATGATTAGCACATCTAATCAATATTAGCCAGGCAACATTTCTACTGTAAATACAGCCTGGACAATGTTTTGCCACAGGAAGTTTCAGAATTTTTTTTTATCAAATATTGATCTGACAAAAGTGCATTAAATTGGTGAGTACATTTTGATTTTCTTATCCATATTTCTTATTTTAAATAAGCTATAAGTTAGCATGTTAAAACTTGTTGCTGTCATAGTCATTATTGCTGGCATGACAACTACTAAAAGGATGCAGGTGACCTTCAATCCTTTAAGGAATGTTAGGTAATAATAATAATAATAGCAGCTTTATTTAAAAAGCACTTTCAAAACAAAGTGCTGAACAAGTGCAAAGAGATAAAAACAAAATAAAACTAAACAAGTAAAAACAGATAAAACACCAAGAGGAGCAATAAAACTATAAAAGTAAGATTAAGGCACAGAGACAGAGTGAACAAGTGGGTCTTTAGCGTAGCTTTAAAACCCTCCACAGAACATGCCTGCCTGGTGTCTTGAGGGAGACTGTTCCACAATGATGGTGCACAAAAGGGAAAAAAAAACACAACCTCCGACAGTTTTTCTTCTGGCTTTAGGAATTTTTAAAATGTCAGTGCCCTAAGATCAGAGTGCACAAGGTAGAACATGAAGGTGCAGAAGATCATAAAGATATGGAGGTACTAGACCAGAGCCTTGCAAGTGAGCAACAAGACCTTAAAGTCAGCTTGAACCTGACAAGACAATCAGTGAAGAGATGACAAAACAGGAGTAATATGCACAAATTTCCTGGTTCCAGGTCTTAAATAAACAAATTAAACTCTAACTTACTTGTAGATCCAGATCTGCATTAAAAATACTTTTTTAGTTTTTGCAGTCACACAGCCAGCTAGATTAAAACTGCAGGTTGTACACAGTGATCCACATGAAATAAACACAAACACAGGTCACTGAAGACAGGCTTTGCATCAACCCAAAGAAAAACAAAACATAAACAAAGCCTAACTCTTGTCGTCTCTGCAGGGGATGTCCACGGACAATACTATGATCTTCTGAGGCTGTTTGAATATGGAGGCTTTCCTCCGGAGAGCAACTACCTGTTCCTGGGTGATTATGTAGACCGAGGCAAGCAGTCCCTGGAGACCATCTGCCTGTTGCTGGCTTACAAGATCAAATACCCAGAAAACTTTTTTCTGCTGAGAGGAAACCATGAGTGTGCGTCTATTAACAGAATATATGGCTTCTATGATGAGTGTAAGTAATGCAGCATGCACACCAACACAGTTTTCTTATAACCATGTGTTTGTTTATCTGTATCAGGGTTCCTGCAGATCCTTAAAAAGTCTTGYAAGTCATTGAATTCATCGCTCCAAAAATAAGGCCTTAATTAGCCTTAAAATGTCTTAAATCAATCTTTCAAAAGTCTTAAAAAAGTTAACACYTTGTAAATAGGATGATTGTAATTTGTCTCATATATTAACATAATTGGTAACATTTTAATTTTTTAAARATTCACATGCAGACTTTCCTCTTTGACATCACTTCCTGTTGCTTCACATGCAAATATCTCAACAACTGTCTGTCTGAGCATCATGGAATTTGTTTCATAATATTTTAATAATGTTGTCTTTCCAAAAATGTATTCATATTTCTTACAAAAAAATGATGTCACAGGCACTTTAAGGTTTCATCTACAGCAAATTGGGGATGAGACCACACTGTGGGTCCTAAAGCTGCAAATTTTGGGTCGTTAGAGAATTTCCAGGAATTAAATTAAGTTTAAAACTGACTGCTAAGAATGTTTTTGCTATATTTGACAAAAAAAYGCAGTTAGATATGGTTAAAAACAATTGGTTTATTAGGAATATTTGAATACTTCAACCAAAAATACTTTGATTCATGTGTTTCAGCCAGTTTTTTATTAATTTTTTTTGTAATTTGTGTTTATTGTGAAATTGGCCTTAAATTTAATTTCTCTTGGCATTAAAAAGTCTTAAATTTAACTTTCCTTAAACTGCAGGAACTCTGCTGTATARTTGTGTGTATWTTTGGATTGCATTGAAAGCAAGTGCCTTTTCTAAAAGGTAATCATAAAAATTGTGAGCCTCTGTTCTTCTAAAGCCGAAACACATTTGAATATTTTCTCAGTCCTGCAGGCTTGTGGTGAAGGAGTGTGATCAGGCAGCATTAGGAGTGAATAATCACATGACTCTCCCTTTCACAGAGCCAGGATTATGTAAAAGATGTTTCTAATCTGGTACACTGGGTGCAGCTGGTTTTATGAGTCCCAAGATAAGATCGCGACCCAGTAACGCTGGTTTCCTCCCTCAGGTAAAAGGCGGTACAACATAAAGCTGTGGAAGACCTTCACCGACTGCTTCAACTGTCTGCCTGTCGCAGCCATCGTTGACGAGAAGATCTTCTGTTGCCATGGAGGTAATCTCAGCAAATTTAGTTCCCATCCACAGCAAACAGTCAAACTCTGTTCTGTTGTCTCTGTCAACATCATGGTCAAAGGACCGTTCTATTGACACTCTATGTTCGCTCCTCCCTGCAGTAGCAGGTACAGCTTTAACAAACTGGTTCTAAAATTGACCGCTGTGCTTTTATGATTTTTATAGCCCAGCTGGCAGCTGCGCTCGCACTCTGATTTTGCTGCAATGCAAAGATTGGCACTCGTGTCTGAGAAAAAAATGGACAGTGAGTTCGTAGAGAAAAGGCAGCCTTCTGTGAGACACTTATCTTATGTTCACAAGCGTCTCGAGGCAAAATATGTAAACACAAACTCATAATCTGAGGTTAAACTCCAGCTTCAGCTTCAAACAATGTTACAGAAGATGAAATGCGTTTACTGTTTGAAAAGTCTTAGCACAATGAAGTTAACCAAGAAATGTTTATTTTATAAAGGCAGATTCTCTCTTCAAGTTTGCAACCCGCCTTTCTCTTCTCCAGGCCTGTCCCCAGACCTCCAGTCCATGGAGCAGGTGCGGCGGGTCATGCGCCCCACTGACGTGCCCGACCAGGGCCTCCTGTGCGACCTGCTGTGGGCTGACCCGGATAAYGACGTTCTGGGCTGGGGGGAAAACGACCGCGGCGTCTCCTTCACCTTRGGCGCAGACGTCGTCACAAAGTTCCTCCACAAACACGACATGGACCTGATTTGTCGAGCCCATCAGGTCAGTGTGGTACCTTCAGTTAAGAGGGAGATGTTTCTACATGTGACGTTTAATTAAACTTGTTAGAAAAAAATGCAGTTTAATGTTCGAGTCYAGTTTGTGTGAATTTGCATGGAAGTTGTAAATACTGCAACGTAGTTCTGTTGCACCTTTTTCAWTTAAATCCTATTTAACGAGACTTTTCAAATGAAAGGTAATCAGATTTTTACAGGGTGCAGCTAAATGTCATTTCAAAAGTGTTTGCTGTTATGATTCAGTGGTTTCTATAAAATTCTTAAACAGTAAAACTTCCTCTTTACATTTGTACTGACAGAGTTCTGCACCATTGTTTTAATTTATAAAGGTGGAACTGCAACAGGTGGAAGTTCAGTATAAAAAACACAGTATTATCTGAAAACCTGTAAAAAATACTGACTCATATTTCTATATTTCCATATGCTTTTGGTTAGTTTGTCTCAGTACTTCTTTGTTTCAACCTTTTTTCCTCCTCATGACATATTTTAACCACATGCTTTTGTTGGTCTGTTTTTACTGGTGGTGAGTGTTTAATAAGAAAAATAAAACCTGTGAAAAAGGCTCCATAAGTATGACTTCATCATTAATCAGGAATCAAATTTCATTTGTTTGTATTTTACGTTGTTCTTGTTTGATAGAAAAGTAGAAAATCAAAATGGCTTTTAGGCCTGTCATGATAACAAATTTTGCTGGGCGATTAATAGTCTCACAAATTATTGCGATAAGCGATAATATTGCCTGGTGACCATTTTACAACTAATAATTATAAAAGCGTAATATGTAAGTGTAATAAATCAATAAACTTTCATTTTTAAAAGAATGTTTAACAAAGTGGACTCTGTCTAACAAAAAATGCACTTGAATAAAAAAAAACAAAGAACAACAAAATGTAAATTAAACACCACACACAACTAAGACAGTAAATAAACAATATTAAAGAGCAGCATCTCTTTAGAGATGAAGCAAACTACACAGCCTGGTGAGGACCCACTGTTTCTTATGGGGACATAAGCCCAGTTCACATCCCATGTAAACTTTAGGCTAGGTTTAGGGTCAAATGGTAATAGAAAATACTGGTAAATGAATGAAAGTCAATGCAAAGTCCCCATGAGGATAGAAGAACAAACGTGTGTGTGTGAGGAGGGGACAGTCAGAGGAGACAAGCAGAGCGCTGCGGGGGAGGAAATCAGACAGTTCAGAGTTTTCCTCATGAGTTTCTGGGACAGCTACAGGTTTTTTGGGGTGTTTTGTTAAAACACAGATGGTGCGTTTAAGTTTCCTGTTATTTTTGGGAGCTACAGGTAAAATCTTGATGAGTTTGTCGCGGGTCTTGGAGTTTCAGCCCCCACCCCTTCTCCTCCTCCTCTCTCTCTCTCTGTGTCTCCCCGCAGCAAATTTCAGACTCTGCAATTGCGCTGACACTGCAGCAGCCGCGTTCTGCTTTGAAACGTTTCTTTAGTTTGTTATTGCTACGAGCTCTCACGCTAACGCGAGAGTTCACTCCTCCCTTCACTAAGAAAACAGGAGGGGAGGAGTCAGCTGAGCTCCTGTGTAGTGGAGCACAGAGAGGGAGAGAGACGAAGTAAACAAACAAGCAGGAAAATGAAACTTATCGTCCTCATTTTTTTTACCGACCTCAAAATAACTTATCGCGCAATTAATTGATTTATTGACTATCACGACAGGCCAAATGGCTTTTAAAAGGCATATATCAAACTTCATTAATTTTGTTTAAAAACAACATAAATTCAATATATAATTAAATACAAATCATAAGTAAATGAAACGTAGCAGAAGAAGACAATCTTATAATGTCTGCCCCTTTTTTCTCAGATAAATAAGTTTAATCAAAAATAAACTTCAAATTAAAAAAAAACATAAGAGAAAACAAAGGTTTGACTCCTTGAACAACAAATGGTACATTATATTGTTACATGTTTCTGCAACAAATTAACCTTTATCATTTTCTTAAATATACATATTGATCTGGCATTTTTAATGTCATCCACCAGATTATTCCACAATCTTATACTGAAGTACTCCGTAAAAGGTCTTTGAGTAATAAAAAAAGACCATAAAAATTATATTTATTGAAGAGAGGTCACATTTTTGTGATTGATTTGATTTTATAAGCTGACAGGAAGTGTGTTGTGATGGGTTAAATTACAGTCTTTTCCTTCCTGTTCTCCAGGTAAATTCACTAACATCCTTTTGTGTGTTTCCAGGTGGTTGAGGATGGCTACGAGTTCTTTGCAAAGAGGCAGCTGGTGACGCTGTTCTCAGCCCCGAACTACTGCGGCGAGTTCGACAACGCGGGGGCGATGATGAGCGTAGACGAGACCCTGATGTGCTCATTCCAGGTGAGAGCGGAACCAAAACATCTGCCTTACCGGCTGCGTTGTACTCGTTGCGACTCCTCATTTCTGCTGTTTTCTCGTTTCAGATCTTAAAACCTGCAGACAAGAAGCTGTTTTATGGCGGAGGAGGCGGTCTGAGCACCGGTCGCCCCGTCACTCCTCCCAGGAAAGCTAAGAAATGACATCAGTAGTTTGCTTTCGACCTCCAGCCCCGACCCCTCTTGCCCTCTCTACCTCTTTTCTCCTTTCTTTCACCAAACAGCCAGAAATCAAACCTATACCCAGGGCTTTTATTTTTTCTTTTTTTAACTGTACTTCTTAAAGCATTATTGTTATGAATTGTCTGAGTGGGTGTGTGAACGTGCGCAGGTGAACGTAAAAAAAAACAACACATGTACATTTTGTGCGAAATTATTACAATTTATACTTTTCCCCTCTCGCTCTTAAGACCCTCCCAGTGGACGTGTTTGAAACCACAGCTGTAATCTGGCTGAAGATTACTGAGAAATTGAACAGGAACGACTTCACCTACAGATGTTTGCTTGTAGGGCGTGGAGGGAGCGGAGTAGAGATGCACCCAGAATCTGCTCGTGAACGGTACCGACCGGTATTCAGGCCGACCGGCCTCGATTAGTGATCTGCTGGTCGACACTCAAAAATCAGATCTTTCAGATTATCTGCTGCTCACCTTGTCGCTAACGATGGGTCTGAGCAAATGAGAGTGGACAGCTCTGTTTTTATGTTTGACTGTTTAGAGACATGATTAATCAGGATGTTAGTAATAATAATGATGCTCAGGATGTTAAAATGTCAGCTCAGTGGTTGTTTTTTATTTGTTTTTATCGTGGATCTGTTGTTAGGCTGACTCGACTTTTGCTCCTGATATGTTTAATTATTAATTGTTAACAGCAGACAGGATTATGGCTGCAGTAAAAAGAAGCAATGATTTAATAGAAAAACATTTAATATTTTCTTTACTTTGGACAAAGCTGCAAATTTTAATGGATATCATGTGGCGGTTAAAATAAATTTAGGTGAAGCATTTGTGTGTACAAAAGCGAAATGTTTAGTAGCTATAATCTCATTTATGCTGGTGTAGATTCTCAGTTATCAGGGTTACAGTAAGTCCAAAAAGAAATTTAATTAAATTGACTATTTTAGGTGAAACTACCGCAAAGAAATTCCAGTTTTCTTTCTGAATATAATCTGATTCATCAGATTATACGGTGAATATTTTTCTGGTACGTTTCATTTGATCAGATCTCTGTTTAATAATCTGGAGGTTATTTGTAGAATTACAGTGACAGAGAAAGATCAGCAGCATTATTTTTTTGTTTATTCCCACCACCCACCCCATATTAAATGTTTCTGCTTTAAACATTTTGTTGTGATCAGACCGTTAAATCTGCTGCTTACAGGGTTCCCACGGGTCCTTGAAATCCTTTGTGAATTTGAAAAAAATGATTTCAATGCCCTGGAAAGTTTGTGAAAACAGCCAAAAATTACATTTGTCCTCGAAAGTCCTTGAATGTTTTTTGGGGATGAAAGTTTTCTATTCACATGACTGATTTTCATCATCTGTAAAAATAATAATAATAATAAAAACTTACATTTGTTGCAGTGGATAACTCAGGATTATGGTAAACTGACGTGGTTTTCAACAAATAACGTGAGTCATAGTCATAGTTTTATCCAGTCAGAGCAGAGCAGGGCGGGTCTTTCTTTCTGAGCCAGGTGAGAGCACCACAGCTCCTCCTGTCCTCAGTGTCTGGACGTGTTCACATCCCCTCCTCCCAAACTGAGCTGCTGAACCTCCCAGGACATAATTAATCTCCATGTATTGTGGATATGAATGTAGGGTAAACATTTAATCCACTTTCTTTCATTGATTCTGACTCAACAACTTCTATGTTGTTCAGTTTTTCATTGAATTTACATGATATTAAACCTGTTTATTGGTAACACTCTGCGATAGCAGGAGGTAATTGCCATCATGCGTGGTTTTTAAATTTGAGGAAATTGGTACTGGAAAGTCCTTAAAAGGTCCTTGAATTTGATGTTGACCAAGGTGTGGGAACCCTGTGCTTACCATAAAATTTGGGGAGTATTTGATAAAACACTGATGCTGACAGGACAAGGTTTTCAGATTATCCAGAGATATTCTAACAAAATGTTTTATGTGCAGACATTTCAAACCACAACAACAAAATGAACTCCATCCACTGAACTGCAGCAGGACTGCACCGATTATTACAACAAAACATGAATTTTTCACTCAATCAGAATTTTTTTATTTTTGTTTTTCTGAGGCGGGCACAGTGGTGCAGTGGTTGGAGCTGTCACCCGCTTCAAAACCCACCTGGATCTTTTCTGTGTGGATTCAGGCAGATCAAAGCTGTACAAATGTCAAAAATCGGTATCAGTCCACAAAYCCAGAATCGGTGCATCTCTGGAGGGGAAGATGTATTTTGATTTCCTTCTATGCTGTAAAATCTCAAACAGATGTGTGTTTGTGTGTGTGTGTGTGTGGGCTCTTGCTTTTTCCAATGTAATGTCTCGTTATCCTCAACCATTTCAGAGCAAGAACACTTACACACACGCACACACACACACTCATATTAGGATTCATATGAGCCAGAGCTGTAAAAACCCCAAACAGTTTAGGTTTGTACAGATTTGATTACTTGAAAGAGATTTTTTGTGAATTCGTTTTGTAGTCTTTCATCAAGTTGACCAATAAACCAAGAATCTGAGCTGATTTGTCGACCAGTTCTTGTTGTTTTATTTATTCATTTTTTTAATAAAATCAACTGCCATCATAAACCAGATACTTTAAAGGGCCTGTGACATGTGAATCCTTCAAAAACAAAAAAGGCGAAGAAGACTTCTTTGGTATAATACACATGATTTTACACATTTTGTCACAAAAATGGCGTATTTCCTTTTGAACATGGCTCAGCCAAAATGAAGCAGGAAGTGACATCAAAGGGGAGCTCTGGTCTTTTTCTATTGAAACAAAATGGTCTGAACTCTAACTTGTCTTCATTTCTCTCTGATAGTGATTAAAAGTCTAAAGAAACAGATTTTTCTCTACAGTTTGTTTTAGCTGTTGTAACAATGCTCTGGTTCACATGCAGACGTTCCTCTTTGACTTCACTTCCTGTTACTTCACACCCAAATAACTTCACCTCAGCAGCACGAAATGTTAGTTGCAATATGTTATCAATGTTATCTTTCCAAAAATACGTTCATATTTATTTTTAGAAATTGATGTCACAGGAACTTTAAATAATTAGAGGTCCTCAATTAAAGAGTACAGTATTTATTTTGTACAATTCATTTTGTAAAATAAAATAAGCAGTGAAAAGGAGTATTAACTGACAGAAGGTGAGAATAGTTTTTATGTAACAAAAACTAAAAATACCCAGATGCGTTCAGCTATTTGATCAATTTGAGAAAACTAAAAACATTTTGGTCTTGGAAGTTGATTATTTAATTTACAAATTTCACAAATTGAATATTTTGTTGTAGCTTCTTTTTAAGTAAAAAATTAAAACTATTATTCTAATAAGGACAGTAGGTGGATGCTTTAAATATACAACCACAATTTGGAATTATCTGTAAAAGTTTTGCTAAAACCTGAAAACTGCAGTATACAAATTGATTAAAGCTCTATCATGCAAAAAATAAAATAAAAAGCTATGTGGCCATCATCCAGAAAAGACCCTGTTTAACTAGACATCTTATGTGAACTTATGAAACATTTTTATGTCTAAATTGCAAATAAGTTATATTTGATCAGTTTGTTAGAATTACATTATGTACACACCGAAAAGAAGCTTCCTGTTGATTTTTTTCAATCTTTAAAATGTACTTAAGTTGTCTAGTGTGACAGAGCCTTAAAGCTTGTTTGAAATGGACTGACGTAAAATGGAAATCTTTTATAATCAGAGCAAACATTTGTTCTCTGTACTAAAGAGAAGAGGGACCACTCAACCTGCGATCAGAAAACATTTCAAAAGTCTGCCTCTCTGATGGTATGGGTGTGCCTTAGTGCCTGTTAAACAGGCAGCTCACACATCTGGAAAAACCCTGTCAGTGCCAAAAAGTAAATACAGTATTTTGTTCAAAATAATTAGGATTTGTTTCTGTATTAGTATCATGGTTTTATTTTATTGATGCCATAGTAAAAATAAATAAATAAATAWATGAGAAAGTGTTTCCCTTTATCCACAAGGAGGCAGTATTAAGTCCCTTTAATGCCATACATCCACACAAAACCTAAACACAAAAAACAATTTGCATTAATTATGATAATTAACATGAAAATTTTGTATTTATTTAGAGCTCAGTCCAAAGACGATGTATGTTTTACTCAATTGTTGCAAAAATATTAAAAAAAAATCTGAGTGTTTCTAAGTATATGTGCAATTTTTTTTAACAAGAACTGTAATATTCACTGTTGCTGCGCATTACTAAGCACCAGATCTCTGTGTTTGGTCCTTCTATATTTATCAAATAATGTTTTGTTTCCTTCTTTGGCATTTCTCTGGCTCTTTTTGCATCCATCCATCTTCCTGTCATCAACACCCCTCCGTCAGATGCTCTGTTCAWCACTTTGCCCTCCTCGTACAAGAACACTGAAACGAGGACAAAGTTTAGGTCAGAAGAAAAATAGTTTTGTTGTTTTTTAAAGGTTATAAACAATATCTTCCCTGTGGTGGATAAGTCTCTGTCTAACCTCGATTGGAGGAATAAGAGTGTTCTGACTGGAATGATGAGCTTACGGCTAGTCCGAGTGGCTCCATCAACAAWGTGGATTGCTGTCATCTGTAAACAATGCAAATCTTGATTTTATTTAATGTTTATGTTTTAAAAAGGAGGGAAAAAAACATCTGTTTTATAAACTTCCATATCACCACCTGCTTTAGATTACACCGGTATTTTAAAGGGAATTATGTGCTTATTGACAACAGCAAATGGCAGTAGCAGCCAGCTGTAGCACATTAAGGGACATGTCCAGCAGTGTTAATTTAATTTTTAGCTAACCTTTTGCTACTTTATTTTTTATTTAGTCATGTCTTACTTTCAGGACCTTTTTTTAGCTTCTAACTAGCCTTTTGATATATGAAGCTAGCCTTATGCTACATTTATCTTTCAGTTTAGTTAATTTTATTATTTCCAGTATTTTACTACTTTTAGCTTTTAGCTAGCCTTTTGCTGTTTTTTAGGGATATGGATGCACCGATATGAAAATTTCAGCCGATATCGGTATCCGATATAATTATTGATGTTATGGCCGATAACAGATATTTACCGATATTACACAAACCCACAAATTTTATTATACATATACGCAAAAACACACTTGGGTCTTTTTTTGACACCGTAAATAAACAACCAGACCTCTGACATGACTTCCTACTTCAGTTATTCCTGGCTGCGCAGCATCAGTATCACTATCATGATCAAACAAAACTAAAAAGAGGGAAATCAATATCGGACGTTAATATCGGCCCAGTTTTACATAATTGGACCGATACAGATATTCTAAAAAATGACCAATATCGGCCGATACCGATATGTCGTGCATCCCTAGTTTCAGATTTTTCAAGTTTCAGAAAAGTTGTTCAGCGCCCAGGACTGCCATTTCCCAGCTATTTGGTTTCATTATTTCACCTTTCAGAACTAAACAGTCGGCTCTGACTACTTCCTGCAGAAACTGCACTCAGGTTTATTGCAAGCCGCTCTGATATGTAATGCTTCAGCGCCCTCGCTCATTCTCTTTGGGGAGGACAATCCTGTGAACGTGGAGACTCGGTGGTTGCAGTTCGTCCAGAGCTGTGAGGTTTCAGATTCTAACTGCAGCGTTTCTGTGGGATTACGTTTCCAAATTCTGTGCTGCTCAGTGAGTCCTGAAGTCTGAAACGTGACCTTGAGCCTGAGCTGTGAAGGTTCAGCAGACTCACTTAAACCCCAAAAAGATAAAACTTCACAAATGTGAACATAAAGTTCGCTTTTGTGGCCCATAACTTGATAAAGATTACAAATGAACGACTTAGAGTTGGTCTTAGATAAGATCAGCAGACTCAAAATAGACCAGAAATTGAATATCCTGTGTAATTTCAAGAGTTCATCTTTCAGACGATACAAAATACTGAACATATTCATTCACACTGCAATGCTGGCCTGACGTCCTGAGCTGAGCTGTTTAATTTATGGTTGCTATTATGAAACTTCAGAAGGATTTGGTTTATGACTCTTCAGTCACAGAATGTCATTTATGAAATGTAAGTCGCCCAAAAGATGGAAGAGTGCCACTGAACATTGTTACTCTGACACTCTGGGCCCTGCTGGACTTTTGAGTCCAGGGTTTGAAGATTTACGACGAGCTGAAATGTTGTTTTAACTCTTAAAGAA